CCGATCACGAGAGCGGCTGGACGTGAGAGAGGAGAGGCTGCCGACAGGCCACGCAGAGCAGCCAGGAGGACACCAGCTGGTGGGACTCCACATCCACCAGGTTGAGGTAGATGAACCTGCTGCCAGCCCGCCGAGGCCTCACACCGACATACAGGTCCTGGATGCCGTTGGCTGGGAGAAGGAAGGCACCATCCGGATCCACCTGTGGAAACCAACACAGGGTGGCCTGTTGCACAACATCCAGCTCGGAGCACAAACAAGACCCCACTGCTCTTAACCTGCACACTACACTGAATCCCACCTACATGAATGCACCACAACTGGCTTTGTGTTGGGAAGGATGGGAGCTGCTGAGGGAAAGGCGGCTCCATCCCAGTCTGGGGACTCCCTCCCCTCGCAGGCATCCCCAGGGAGACTTTTCCTTTTGTTTACAGGGCAGTGCTGGAGGTTTTGTGCCTTTTTATTATTCACATCCACAATTACGGCCAAACAAATCCTATAGAAATTGTTAGTCTTGACAGTCTCATTAACGCACATAATTTGCCCTCCGGGGTTTCGTGCCGATGATCCTACACATGACAGCCCTAATCAAAAGATAATTATCACAAACACTTGCTGTAGTAAGTTGTTCGTAATTCCAAGCGGGCTGCCTCCCCCCTCCCCTTCCCAGAGGGAATTCCATGGCCTGGCACAGGCCAGCCCCGGGGTTACCTCCAGCTCCTGCGGGTGGGAGGTGAAGACCTGCACCCTGCGCGGTGCTGGCGTGCCCCGGAGCAGCAGCGAGAGGCGGGTGAGCTGCCCGGCCGTGCAGCTGACATCCAGGCGCTGCAGCGAGTGCAGGTAGAACTGCCAGATCTGGATGGGTGCTGCCAGCCAGGGGTCCCTGCGGCACAGACAGACAGGCTCAGAGTAAGCAACAAGCCCAGAGCAAGAGCCTGAGCTCGGGTGAGCTTCCTCTAAGGAAATCAGTCCCACACGTTCCTAAAGCAGCACCCGAGGCTGGAGCAGGAGGCTGCATGCCAAGGATGTACTGGCCAGGGAGTGTGTAGGGGAAAAAGAACCCTGAGCTGCAAACATTTCAGGAAGCCTCCTGGCCCAGCCTTCTGCTGCTCAGACTCTGGACTCATAGGACCACAGAGTCCCAGACTGTTTTGGGTTGGAAGGTACCTTAAAGCTCATCCAGTTCCAACCCCCTGCCATGGGCAGGGACACCTTCCACTAGAGCAGGTTGCTCCAACCCAGCCTTGAACACTGACAGGGACGGGGCAGCCACAAGCAAGGGAAGGGCAGTGGGAGCTCCATGTTTCTCACTGTTTTGGGGTTCTGGTACTTACACATAAATAGCAACAAAGAACTTCTTGATCTGTGGGCTTGGTCCTCCAGCTACCTTTAGAAAGATGTCCTGTGGCTCCCCAGGTCCCTGCATGCCAAAACCAGAGCATCATCTCAGCAGTTTAACCTCATGATGACCCCACTAACCAGAGCTCTGGGGCTTCCTTCCCATCAGAGGGACCCGTACCAGCCCACTCCATAAGCAGATGCTGTCTGCATCTCATTAAACTAAGTTATCATAGAGCTTGGCTGAGCTCTTCCAGTATTTTTAATTACAAAAGAGGACACAAATAACTATCACATTCCAGGTCTGCATCTGTAATCAAATTCTGGCAAATTTTCCCCAAGTTTTCTAACAAGCCATAATCCAATTACCATACTAACGTGTGTCAGGCAATCAGCAATCACCCTCCATCGCCATCTGCAAAGCATGTGCCCACATTCAGTTTCCCTTCCTAACCCCCCTCAGCTGCAAAGCAAGCCCAGGAAGTCCACGCTGCACGTTCCAAAGCAGGGGCTGCATATCAGTGTCACTCTATGGGTGCAAGGCATTTCTCTGCCAACAAAAACAACTCGCAGCAGGAGGACACAAAGCACAGACCAACGCCAAAGCAGAACCAGTACCATGTTTTTGGTTTCACAAATGATGTCTGGGTCACTGCAGCGGACATACATCTCGGGCTCCCCCCCTGGCATCCCCACTGGTGTGCCTGCGGAGGAGAGACGGGGGCGCCGTGGGGGGAGCGCCCCGGGAAAAAAGCCATATTCAGCACTTGGTGCTTGCTACCTTGCACCCCATGCAGCCACAGACTTGAACCCTTTAACACTTGGCTACCAGTACATGGGTGTGTTGGTGCAGAGAATTGGGTGTATAATTAATGCTGGCAGGTAAAGAGCAAGCAAGGAGCCCAGGGAAGCACCCATGTGCTTTCTGGATGCTGATGCTCCTCAATACCACATCCCTGTGAACCATAGGTGGTGGATCAACAACGAAAAGCCACAGGCTCACCAGGGAGGGTGTGCCAGGGGGGCAACCGAATAGTCTTCTTCAGGAAGGTGAGCTCGGGGTGGTAGAAGCGGAAGGTCTGATCCACCACATGGGGCTGCGGCTCCACCTTCACCCGCAGGAGCGCGATGGGCTTCCCCCCACTCACCTGGAAGGAAACCTGTCCCAGAGGGCGGAAGGAGAAGGATGGAGTTCTGCAGGAGTGATGCTCCTCCTCCTGCACAGCCCCTTTCCCCGGTTCCCTCACCTGGATGTGCTTTGTCCGCCCAGCCCCACTCTTGCCCAGGGAATGGATGGCTGTGTCAGCACCAGCACCCAGCCCTGACGGTCCCTGTGGGGTGCAAGAGCAAGTTACCTCAGGATGCAGCCCTGCCACGGCTGCACAGTGCTCCCCGAGACAGAAC